TTTGGTAGTAAATTATAATTAAAAAAAAAAATATTTTGAACAGGAGCTTAGACTCTTTCCTGAAAGAATTGATAGGAACAAACATTTTTTAAACAATAAAATAGATGTCTCATTTACACTTAAATCTCTTTATTTACCCATCAGTCTCAATTTTATCTCTACATAAAAACTAACAAAGTAATAACTCATAAAAATAATTTAAAAAAAGTAGTTCACCGTAAATTCAAAACGTGACAAATTACAGTTGGACAATGAAAGTTTAGAAACACGAGCTTCATATGTAAATCTCACTTCAACAAGTTCATGACCTTGAAAGCAATCTTAAAGTTGTTCAAAAAAATGCATACATGAACTGGTCTTCAATCGTGGTAATATTTTAATATTTTAATAACATTGTAACTCAGTGTTCTATTTCAATTATAAAACCTAGCAATCAACTTAATTACTTCTAACTATTTTGACACGCGTCAACAGATAAGACTAAATAATTAGAATCTTTTCCAAATATGATAATTTTTATGAGTTATTATGAATGTATTATAATTATGTAAGTAATACGATATCTCAAGAATGTCTTATTTACAAAAAGAAGGAAAATGTTTCCTTAATCTATTTATTTAATTTTGCTTTATTGCATAATCTTAAAAAAACGATTACAAAAGGCGGACTTAATGCCATAATCACCGTCGAAGTGATGTTTATTTTGAGGAATAAATAAAAAGCAGTACATGAGACGAATCTCATACACATCTAGGTTATCAACGTTGGAGGTTCTCAATTCGACTGTATTTTTTATGTTTGTTACCTCAGAACTTTCGCCTGATTGAACCGAATTTGATGATTCCCTTTTTATTTGAAAGCTGGTGCTTCCCGTGTGGTCCCATATTATTTTCTCTGGATCTTGGGCTCCGGTGATACTTAGGGAATTCCTGATTATAAAATGAATACAGAGCCGAGATATTTAGAAGTCAGTTTTGTTTTTACGTTAATAAAAATGGACTTGTTTAAGGGACAAAGAAACATACAAAATCTAACCTTTGCACACAACAAATATTTAAGCATTTTTAAATTAAATAAATACCGGTTACTCTTTTTATTCAGTTTAGTGATGTTCATCTTAACTCTGTTAGTTTAGATTTAACAAGAATGAACCGTCTACCGATTGATCTACGTAAATATCGCCGTACCACTGTTGGCCAAAGTGGGTATTGGGGCATAGTTCGCCACGGCAGATATATCTTCATCATATATCCTATAATTCCGGAATATCCCTCCTGGCGGGATATCGGTCGATTTAATTGATTCTTACCGCCCATTCAACAACGCTGTGTGGCCAAAACGACGATGAATAAATCATTATATCCATTTTCAAAAATGTGATGCGTTTTTTTATATATCATATATATTAATATAATTACTTATTGTTATTTAAACTCGTATATTTTTTATATAATTTACAAAAAATCATTTATTGTTACTAAAACACCTATCACAATAATAACATGTGGTTTTGTTTGCCTGTGATCGAATGCCCGACAGAATATGACAAAACTGATACCAGATAAAAACGGAATTTTCAACTATATAATATACAGTACAACTATAATTATACAGATTTACATACAATACATATAATATATAGATTTAAAACGAAACTCATGGTAACTACTTTTGCCGTGTTGACGGGAACGGAATGTATGTACCTACATGAACCGATATTTACTTCTGAGCTTTTAAAAATACTCATGACACGTAACTTTTTAATAAAAATAAAACATTATTCATTTGTTCTTTTACCATGACTAATTTACTAAGTTCCGTTAGAAATTTAAATTATTTATAGTGGTAATCTTTGCACTCAAGATTGAACATTAAAACATGTAGGAAAAGTTCGAAAAGATCGTCGCCGCTGTGGGAATCGAACCCACCTTCGGCATTCGCGGCCTGACGCTTTAGCCACTGAGCTAAACGGCTGATTGCCACACCGACGAAAACCTTAACGACTTTTATCTACATTATTTCTTAGCACTTGAAGCAATGCTTGGCGCATCTATTGTTATATCCTTTCGAGCATACAAACTTTTCACTGCACAATTTCGAATACAACTTGGCGAAAGAAATATAGCAAATTTCAAGTCTCTACGCCTTATGGTTCCTGAGATATCGCGATGAGTCAATTATCGGTGGAAATCTCTTATATATGTACCTGCGTTCTTCATCTAAACTCAAGATTTCTATTCCTGAACATAACATTAGTTTCTTCGGTGACTCTTTCGCCGGTCAGGCTGTACTACTTTGGAAGTCCTTGCCTGAAGACATACGTAGTGCCCCTTGCAAGACCTCATTCAAACACAGTCCGCGAATTTTACTTAACATCTGAATGTTAAATTTCATCATTATTTCAATACCGTTTATATGTTTATATTTATGTATACATATTAATATTTTTTATATGTAATATGTATGTGTATATTTGTATATATATATTTTTTTTGTTTATTTATGTAAGTATTTATATTTATTTAAGCGTGCGTATATTCCATACATTGTATATTTCATTCTCATTAGTAATGAACTTGTTCTTTTTTCTTCATTCTATCCACAATTTATCTCCACGTCCCGGGTTGACTGGGAGAGAACGCCTAAAGGCATTAAGGTCATTGCAATAAAGTATAAATAAATATATGCCTAGATGATATAATTATTTAGGAGATTTCAATCGCCAGTTCATTTGTATAAATCTACTTAATCTTAAAATCAAATCCTTCGCTATAATAATAACATGATATTTTTAATATTATTGAAACAAAAATATTGAACGCATCAAGAATGGGTGCAAGGTAAATGTTTACTCCCGTCGCTTGCGCTGGATTTACTTTTCATAACGACCATTTCAATTATAAATAAATATAAAAAGAACAAACGAAAACAATCCACGAACAACAACCCGCAGCATTAACATAGTAATTTTTATTTTAAGAGTTTTATGTGTAAAGATTTTTTTATTTAATTGAATTTAGAATATATCATAATTACAAGTATTTAATATTCGATTTTCCGTCGATCCAAAGAATGACGGAACGTAATTATTATTTTTTTATCGTGACGTTTTTTATCATTCACATTGCCTTTTGATTAATGACAACCGATAATACATTCAATAAAACAGGAAAAGAGCGATGTGAAGTCACCATCAAATACTACGTTCGTTACGTAAATTAATTAAACATGATGTTAAGAAAGACGCTATAAAGAAAGACATTTTTTTACGAAATTTTCTTTTTTTAATACTGTAATCGTAAAAGTCCGTACATAAATGAAATTTATTTACGGACGACTCGACACGATTAATAATAATTGAAGAAACACGCTCGCCGTTGTAGATACGACGAAAAAGTTATTTATGTTAAATAGTTCACGGCTACGAATACGACCAGTACGTATAAATTTAAGATTATTATTTACCTTTAAGGTAACTAGAGTTACAATTGTCGTCCTCACTAATTGGCTACATTAATTTCATTATACAGAATAATTCATTGTAAAGATAAGAATTAATTAGGTATATTGAATTGCATAAAATTGACTTAAAAGAAGCAAAAATACTCGATTAAGAGGAAATGATTTAAACTGAAACTAGGAAAAACTACGTTTAAATGCGATTACGGTAGCTTAAATACAACTAATTATTTTTTTTTATGTGAAAAGTTGCCAAACGAGCAGACGGTTCACCTGATGTTAAGTGAATACCGCCGCCCATGGACATCTGCTACATCCGAAGGTTTGCAGATGCGTTGACAACCTTTTTGGAGATTACACTCAATAAAAGAATATTCTGCACAAAGAAAAATTTACTTAATTAGTGTCCACCGATATCATCGCGCATATGAATAAAAGACACAAAATAAATTTTGTTCACATTTGTATTTGTTTGAAAATATTCTATTGTCGCTTAAACGTTTTCAAATTATCAGTTAAAAATTTAGTATCTTATATCATGTTTAAAATCTATTAGTTATCTATGTAGGTGGACACTGAATATGGGAGATATAATATTATGATACTTACACGAAATTAGGCCTACTGTATGGGTAACCGAGTGTTTTTACAAGCTTAAATTTAATTTCTTTTAAATAATAATAATAATAATGTGATCGGTAAAGAAATGTTTTATACTAAGCACTATCTTTGAAAGGAACCATAGACATTGATATTGTAGATTTATTTTAAAAACTGACTCGCCCTTTGTAGTTTATAATATTTAATCTTAAAAATATTGTCAATATAACAAATATAATCATTTTACATTGCTGCACTACGATATGATTTTGTTCTTTAAAACCATAGATTTGATTATAAAATGACTAATTATTAGTCACATTATGTAACATGAAAATTAGAAATATCTCGCAAATATTTAATATATTTACCTTGTGAATGTAATGAGACATATGATTCCATTATGTTTATTTCAATAATAATGCGGGTACAAGAATAATAAATAAATATTTTAATACCCATGAAATATAATCTGTTGTTGTGGATAATCTGTATTTTCAGTGAATGTACTTAGGCGAATACGACATACCCATAATTTATGTCAGGCAAACAATCTAATTTTAAGCGTTTTAATTGCTTTACTTACCTGCTAAATCGGGAAAATCCAAAGTTATAGCCCCGAACACCCAACACTGAAAGTGAGAAACTTAAAAAATTGCACTAAGATTTCATTAAACGTCAATACCGATCAATCACTTTGCACGAACACGCGGCGGTTGCGTTTACAATATCTTATCTGTGAACTTTGAAAGAAGAAAAAAAAACACAATTAATAATTTCCAAAACTACGCGTCCTCGGTCATAGACAAAAATCACGAAGAATTTATTTGACAGTCTACAATTAACATAAACATGTGTACTATTTTTATTATTCGTTGTTTTCTGTAGGCTTTGTTATACTGCAACTGTCGAACGGCGTCCGTGAGGCCAGTTACGATTTATAAACGGGCCCCTGTTTTGGTTCGACGCGTCGCAGACACGGACGCGCGCGCTGCTTGGGCGAGACTGCCGCGCGCCGCTGCCCCGCGCGCCGCCCCACCCCTTTGCGTTAAACGCTGTGTTTTTTTCGTAGAAAATCGAGGGAAAAGGCAGGCGCCCGATAGCGTAATTTGTGTCGCCTGTTTATTATTTGGCGTGTCGTTTACCTGGCGCGGGCATAGTTGTCCGTGGGTGGATGAAGGCGGGTGCTTGTAGGTGGTCCGCCGCGGTGGGATGTCTCTGGCCGCGGGTCGTGCGCGCCCTTTGTTTTAGCGTCGCGCGCGAAGCACGTGCTGTGGCGGTCGAACGCAGCCGTTTAGGCCGTTATCAAATATTGTATCGATTTCGATAGAACTGGATCAATTGTTCGCATATTTCGGCACGATGGTGAATTAAACTGGTACGTCGTTGTTGGTGTTGATGGAACTGACTCAACCCTTTTGCACGCTCCGTTATGGTCGATCAAAATGAGTTGTTCGCTTCCTAAATTTTTACGAGTCATGTTTGCGAAGTCGCATGCATACAGCACTTGTTTACTAGTATGCAATACGTTATGAAACAATTTCTGTCGTAAACAGAACTTGTTTCTTGATCTCTTCAGGCTCGTAAGAAATAAAAAAGAGCATCTATTAACGCAAAAGCAAATAGGCTTGAATTAGTCCGATGACAAATAGTTGGGTAAACTTGGGATTGGATATGTCCAACAAAGAACTATTCTTTCCCTTGTGGCATACAACACTTCTTTTCTCATTCATCTTTATTACCAAATATCCAATGTCTGCATCGATTTACACTATCTGGCAATTTAATAGTCAAGGTTACGTGATTATATGACACGCATCTCGAAATCGACGTTACTAATATTAGCAAACTTGTCCAGCAGCAGCACCTGGAGATATTGCTACAAGAAATCAGAGGTTCGTATTAGGTGACATGTACATATAGGTACCTATTTCTATTGAAGTTATTCCTCCCGTTGCAAGTCAACTTATAAATTTTTTGTACGAGAATCGAACCTGCAACCGATTGATTCGACCGTGAGGTCAAAGTTGGGGCGAGACTTCTGAATGTTTTACTTCCGAACCACAACTCCACAATGTGTAGAGAAAAACTGGTCAAGTGCGAGTCGGACCCGCACACCAAGGGTTCTGTACTATTTATTATCTATAAAAACGACAAAAAAATCATGTCCGTTGAATGCGAGCCCACTCAAATATTTTTTATTCTGACTTTTGGTATTTGTTGTTAGAGGCAACAGAAATAAATCATCTGTAAAATAAACTATCGCGGTTTAAACAAATTTCATCTGCCTGGTGAATGACGGACAGACAGACAAACAGACAGATAGCAGAGTCTTATTTATTACTAATGAAAGATCCGATTTTACTCTTTGGGTACGGAACCCAAAAATGACATTATATGACACCGTCATTTTTCTTCTGGCGGAATTACTACTGGCAACTGACTGAGACAAGAGGGATGGAGAGGAAAAGGAATAAAAACATTTCGAAGAATGTCACATGGTGGATTATTGCATAGTGCACCATGTGGCCTTCGAAATATTTTTCTTCTTTCTCCTAGAAGCCACTGTATAGAAGAGGCCTTTGCTTCATCATCAGGAATAACATGTTTTAGTGAAAGAATTCTTAGAATACGTCCATTAATATCCGAGATAATCACGTACGATTTTACTACAAATTATACTTTAATAACATTAGTATAGAAGATTACTTCTACATGAGAGAAAGGTCCCATCCTAACAGTTGTCCGCCCAATTATATATGAGTCGCAAATTATTAATTTTTAAAAAGATTCTCACAGTAACGACAAAAAGAGATTAACAGGTGCACGGAGAGGTGAAATTGCGGTTACCACTCGTCCATTATTGGCAAAACAATGGTTAGTAGTGAGAATTTAATTGTTGCGAAAGAAAACGGCGGGAGAGGTGGCGATTTTTTGAAAAAAAAAAAAAAAAACAAAATGCTAATGACAGTTTTGTTAGTGGGAGATTACCCGCGCTTTTGTCTATGGTCGTAATCCGTTCGCATAACAGAAGGTAGCTCGTTCGTAACAAAGCGTTTCGGACGACAAATTTTTTACTTTTATTCTTTTGTTTATCGCTGGCCAGTTACAGGCTTATTACCTTTCTATTATTTAAAAAAAGGATAAAACTCGCTCGTGTCTTATTCTCGCCATTTATCTTATCGATCGCCATTGACCTGTACTTTATACACCAATATTTGCTAAGTTATGTTTTTTACCAATACATCACCGAAATGTTAGGAAATATTTCACTTTTTCTATTAACTTTGCATATAAAAACATTAGTATTTACGATCTTACTTGATAATAAAAGCTGTAATCGTAATAAAAACAGAAAAAAATATTACTTCTTAATAATTAATGTAAGCTTACATTATTAAATACAGAATATTTGTATTATTTATCTCAATATCAAAGTACTTTCAACATCATTTTAGTTGTTATCATTAATTTCAACAATACTTGAGCTATTCGTATTATCAATAATTTAATTATAACTATGATAAAAGGATGTCATGGAAATAGGCTTGGAGGAGCAAATCGCTTTAATATGAATAGAATTTTTACTAATGAAAAACAACGAAATTCAACAGACATCCAATCCAACAGAAGCATTAAGAAAGTCTAGTGTTGACCGAGGTAGTTTCTCGTGACGGTTAGATTAGACGGTTTATCAAAAAATAGCTGAATCACATTTAGTTTGTGTAAGGGCAGAAGAAAGAGAAAAGAGAAGGGTTCAAATATTATTCCTCTCGACTCTATCACGAAAGCAATCCGCGGAAGCAATAAAAATATTACATTTCAACACTCGTCGCGATGAATATAACACTATTTTATCGGTGTCGCTTGTTTCGGCGCCAATAAGAATGTCGATTTATTTTGACAGCTTGAATGGCTACTGAGGAACGCTTTGTGTAAAAATATTTATACTTAAATAGCGTCAATCATCACGTATTCTTGTATTCGTGATTGAATTTATATAATTTTAAACATATCCTTAGTGACGAGGATTTGTTTAAACTAGTTGCTGTTGAAATGCAAACGTGATTCGTTTAATAAATTATAATTAATCATTTTTTCAGTATTATAATTTAACCTATTCGGATTTCTCCATACAGACAATTCATCAATAGTTATATCGCCGTTTTCGATATATACATATCATTATTATTGACCAGTACAGCAGAAAACCGGCTTTAAGTGCCTAAAATTGTAAAGTAAAGTAACAGCCAATACATGTCCCACTGCTGGGCAAAGGCCTCCTCTATACAGAGGGTATCAGGGCATAGTCCACCACGCGGCCCCACTGCGGATTGGCGGACTTCACATATTTTCGAAATACATTTTTTTTGTTATTATTTCGAAAATATGCAGGTTTCCTCACGATGTTTTCCTTCACCGCGGAGCACGTGATAAGTCAGCACTTTCATATTTTTCTTTTAGGTTGGCAATACATCTGCAACCCCATGGGTGTTATTGGAGTAATAGTAATCAAATGATATCGGGTGAAACGCATGCTCGCTTGCAATTCCTTTGATATTGAAACAATCTTGAAATGGGTTGCGCCAGGTATCCCGTTGTTTAGCGAAGCCCTGACGTGCCTTACATCAGGCAGTATTTTGGAGGGTGAGGTAACCGCTGTCCGTTCGCCTGAAGGTCACGGTGAAGGGCGTTGGTCGCTAAATTGTCTACTTTTTCGTTTACCGCCTTTCTTACGTTCACACTCGGAAGCCCTCATCTATGTTAGTCAGTTAGTTTTGCTAGGTAGCTTTTTGACATTCAAAAAGAGTTTAAAATAAGTTTCTTATTTATTTATCCTGTCTTGTAAATACGATATACAAACATAAATTTCACGTGCACAAACACCCAGACGTGAAACAAATATCTGTGGGTCACATAAATAGTTGTCCCGTGTGGGAATCGAACCCACGACCCCCGACGCCGAAGCCTTCTATTGAATATAAAGAAATGTTGAATTTGTCTATGAAGATGGTTCTCAAGGAAACTTGTGTTCCATCACACCTAATCTCAATATCTCCTCTCCTCAATCATTTCTATTAGTTTTGCGGTCGAACTCTTCGGCCGGATTTTCGGCTATTCGACCAGCGAGGCCACTGGATTTTAGAATCTAATTCTTTGCCAGCTTTTGTTTTTGCTGCACCGTTCTACGGCGAACATTCGACAGGCTTTTATCCGTTGCTTCGCCCGTGTAGTCTTGTATTTTTCCGGGAAAAGTCCTGTGTCGATACATCCCGTAAGCTGTTTTAAACGCCGAGTTCCGTTTAAAATCGTTCAGCCGTCGCATGGCGAACGCATATATAACGAGATTGATACATATTATGTAGTAGTCAATTAACCGAGGCACTCAGAAACGCCTCAGAAACAATTTAAAGTAACTATTTGATGTTTTTAGGGTTCCGTAACTTAAAGGTTAAAAATATAAATGATATAAGAGGGTCACACTCGACGGTATAATGGGTAAGTAGGGAATCTTCGGCTTACGATATCGACCGGTTATTTTTTTTAAATTGTAAAGTTTTCAAGCATGTAGGCCGTTCACCTGACGTTAAATGAATGCCGCAGCCCATCGACATATACAACAACCGATGGCGTGCTGGTGCGTTGTCAACCTTTGAAAGTGTCGAACCCGATTACCTTACTCACCAGAGGAAACGCGAAACTTTAATACTTCCACTTCACGCTGGTCTTCTGTAAGGCCGTGTTACTTCCCCGGACGAGCCTGCCCATTTGTGCAACAGCAGGAACTGTGGCGTGGCCCTACAACAGACAAAAAAAATTTTAAGAGTTTTAGTATCAAAGGAATGTTTAATGAGGCTCTCATAGAAATCATAGTACTATTGCCAACCGTACAACAGACAAAAACTTAAATGGTTCGATCTCCACTGCTGGAACAGTGACATAATGTTAATTGAGCATTCCATAGTTTTAAAAAAATATTAATATTTTATTTTGACAAGATATACAGCGTGTCGTTACCATCGCGACAATAAATGAACACACGTCTAACGCTACTTGCCAATAATCATAAAAAAATATTAACGTTAAACAAAATCCATAATAAAAAAATAATATTTTTCAAACAAACTAATTAAGTAAAAAAGAAACAAAATTTGTAACATCCTATACAACTCGCGCCACAGCGTCGTATTACAAGCCTCTCCTTCTAACAGTATGTTTTGTCTCTTTTAAATTCATTCAACCCATTCATATGCTTTGTGACCTTTACAAATGAACTTTACGTTACGCTTTTATAGTTAAGGATGTTCTAAAATTCTTTGTTTTGGAATATTTAATAACTGTGTAAATATTGATGTTTAAAGAATTTAAATGTTTAATACAACTTTAAAAAGTTATCCTCTATATGTGTGTTCATTTATTGTCGCGATGGTAACGACAGGCTGTATAACCAGAAAAATATCAATTCAACATTGTTTGTTTATCCCATTAAGAGTGGTCACCCTATTGATAAGCGGTTGCGTACAAGTACGAACCAGATTCAGATTTTGAAACCAATTCTGCATATGCTCTGTTAATATGTCCGTCCTCTATAAAATCACCTGTATATTATCACTAGCTGCTGCCCGCGACTACGTCTGCGTAGAATAGGCTGCAGGCGTAACATTCAGACAGAAAAACAAATATTTATTTCATAAAAATTTATATACATAAAAATATGTATATAAATTATAGCCTATGTTTTATTCTCATAAATAAGCTGTATTATTGTAAAGTTTCATTAAAATCCATTCAGTAGTATTTGCGTGAAAGAGTAACAAACATCCATCCATACATACAAACTTTCGCTTTTATAATATTAGTAAGGATTAATATGAAATTACTTAGAAATGTTTAACTATCGGTATGCTTGTTATGGTTCAGTGATTACATCGTCACGCTTACGAGCTTAAGGTCGCGGGTTCTATCCCCAGTGGGTCAGGAAATCCTTGTCGTGACACGTGTCCGGTCCGTTAAATAAGCTTGCTTATTTATTTAAGTGGAGGGGAAAAATTGTCCCACTGAGTTTCTTTCGCCGGTTCTTCTCAGGTTAGTGGCTTTTTTTTTCATAACCGGTAATAATATTTTGACAATCAATAAGTAAGTGTTATGCTTCTATCTATACAGATTAATAAAATTGGAGTGTCTGTTTGTAATATTAAAATAACCGCTTTTTACTAAATGCATATGGATGTATGTACACGGTACATATACCAAAATAACATTTTTAACAATTTTTGTCTGTCAGTCTGTTTGTTCCGGCTAATCTCTGAAAACGAATTTTTTTTATTTTAAATTCCAGGCGGACGGCGAACGCATCTGCAAACCCTCGGGTGTGGCAGACGTCCATGGGCGGTGGTAATCACTTAACATCAGGTGAACCACTCGCTCGCTTGGCAACTTTTCACATAAAAAAAATATACACTATCTCAGTAAAATCCTATTCACTCTTGCCTTAAGACGACAAGTGATACTTATAGTTTCCTTTCACGTTCTCTCTATCTATCTAAGTTTAATTTAGGTTCTTGTATCTTCATCTTTCCTATGAGATCTTTTGCAGTCTTCCTTTCGAAACCGTTGCCCCTTACTGTAGCGTCTTACTGTATAACATTATCCAGCGTTGTAAACACGTTTTCATACATATATATCAAGTGGACACACACCCGGATACGAAACAATTATCTGTGGGTCGCGCAAATAGTAGTCTCGTGTGGGAATCGAACCCACGAACCCTGCGCCGAGGCAAATACCTTGGCAACTGTGCCACGGAGTCATCATCCGTGAAGATAAAGAAAACTCTAACTTACGTTAGGTTGACTTAAAAGACCTGCGCCCGGTTTTTGAAACACTGATCAGCGTAGATGTCAACTAATCAGCTGTCAAATGGATTTCAAATTACAATTTAGGTACCAAAAGAATGGTTAAACGCTCTGAATTGACCAGAATGATCTTCTTTATGATTAGAATGATCAATTCAAAGAGTTTAAACATCCTTTTGGCAACTCAAATGACATTTGAAATTCATTTGACAGCTGATTAGTTGACATCCACGTTGATCAGTGTTTCAGAAACCGGGCGTTAGTGTTATTATTAATGAAAATTAATTTAATATTTAGAGAGCTATGAGAGTTTAATTTGGAGCGAGTATGCATTACGAAAAAGCTGTTTGAAGAAAGAGACACAATATCACGAGTCCGGTGTACAGGAAGAGAGTTCCACCACCTGTCGCAATTGGGAGTATAAAGTATGTCACTCTCTCTGTCTACTTTATACAGACAGAAAGGTACGATAGTGTTTTAAACTTAATAACAAAGTCTCACTTGAGCGAATAAAACTATCCCATATAATAATCGAACAGGAAACCCTACCCAATAACAAAGGCCATAAAACAGTTCAGATTAATCAAAAATTCGATATAAAATTAACTTTGCACCATCTTCATTAGTGACCTTATTAAAAATTAATGCGCGGCGCTGTCGCCTCCGCCATCTTGGATGTTTTATGACACCGCGTCAAGAAACAATAAAACCAGCTTATTTATTCGTGTGAAGGCATTTTATTATCTTCTATCCATTTAAGATGTGTCATTATGCATCATAAGCGGATGAGCAATAAAAGTCACATCTCATAATCAATTTTAAAAATGCACTATCAAATTTATAGAAACATTTAGATAGGCACTTATCTGTTTCATTTAAAAAAAATATTTTAGTTTCGGCACGGTAAATTATTATAATTTTCATCTGATTTGGTTCTAAACCGAAACGATATGTAACTTCTTGCTGTTAATTAATAAAGGCATTCATTTTATTGCTTTACGACCTTTTTGTTTTCGAGTATATTTAATTGCATAAATTTTAAGGTCTCAATTTTATCTCCTAATTGAATTACTTACCTATATATAAGTATAATGAATCAGATTCTTAATGAATAAGATACATTACCAAAAATATGCATAAGCGCTGGAGTAATCCAATATTAGAAAGTATAATCGACTTGTTTGAAAATAGAATAATTTTGGAGAAAATCTTTTTTTAACCTTTTTCTTTTTAAAAAAACAACATATATGGATGTAATAGGCAACTTTAATCTACAGCGTAAATACAAATCAAGAGTTCGACGTTCGAAAAATTATGTTCGAGCTTATGCTTGTGCCGCGTATTCTTCCAAATGTATCGAAGTGAATAGTCTTAAAGTCGTATCAAGTCTCAAACAATTCTATACTCTATTGCCGTGTAAATACAGTTCATATTCGATCGTTTTAGTTAATATTTGAGTTGTTGCTTCGAAACTATTAAAGTCAGTTATGGCGGTAAACGTCATATCCCAAGTCGAACTAATAAAGGCGATGAAACATGGATACTTTGCTTTTACCACGTTTTCTTAGGCTCCCTAGATGTCTGCGCAGTTGTTTGTGGGCAGATATCTAGGTCGTTGAATTTGCGGGGTTTGTATCGTAACTAGTTTCGACGCAATGGCTACTTGAAGTATACAGTTTAATATTGTCACTTATTTATAGGTCTTCCAATAAGGATTTTATAAATCTGTTTTATTTGTTATTACTCAGTAGGGTTAAAATAGAATGCAATCATGAAATTTCCTTCATTTTAATTTACCTGGACCGAACGAAACACAAAAATGCACAGTTTTTATAAATCGTATAGGTTGCATTTTAGTATAATTTATATTCTGGAACTGTTTGTTCAATTTTTAATTAAGGCAATGATAATTTAATGTTAGCAAAATTACAATCGATGAATTAAGTTTTTCTTTTGCTTGGAACAACTCCAGTATCCTACTTTTCGAGCATCACGTTAGATAAAACTTTATTACCTATTTGTATATGATGTAACAATTGACATTTTCGAAAACATCAATCAATGGTGCCATTAACAATAAAACACTCTATGGGCGAATCTATCTGGAACCGGACAACATCGGGAGAAAAACAGAGCCAAAGAAAAATCTACGACTAACAAATTAATCGTAGACACGTGTTTCCGATCGAAAGCTGGGCTTCGTGTTTGCCCAGCAGTGGGGCGTACAAGTTTAGTTCGTCCGCGCCTACGAGCGTACACAAGGTACACTGGGGTCAAGGAGTGGATCTCACCGCTCCCAGCGAACGATAAACACGTCGAACTGTGATGTCACTATACGGTAGTCTCCTTTTCCATTTGTAAAACGGGACCCTATTAGTAAAACTCCGCTGTCGGTCTGTCTGTCCGTCTGTCGCCAGGCTGTATCTCATAAACCGTGATGTTAGACAGTTGAAATTTTTACAGATGATGCATTTCTTGAGCCGCTATAACAAAAAATACTAAAAAACAGAATAAAAAAAATATTTAAGTGGAGCGCCCATACAACAGGCACGGTTTTTATAGATGTATGTCACACATATGCGCGAACCCGTATTGCACTTGGCCGGTTTTGTTTACGCACGCATGTCCACATGCACGACTGTTTGTGCATGTGGACATGCGTGGCGGAAAAACCCTTATGCGCGATAATACTCCATATAGTCTACAGACAGAAACTAATTTGGACTCCAACTTATAATAGACTCCTTAATTTCGACACGTCCACTTCCGTCGCCACATCGCGCCGTAACTCGCGGCCGCTGCCCGCCCAGCAAACGTTTACGAGCGCCGCGATCCCCTAATCCACGGTGAGTCGCGGCGGCCGCGACAAAAGTGGGACATATTTTAAAAGCGGGCGACACTTCTTTCCCACATTTCGGTGCCGCGTCCGAATTAATGGGGCCTCCCGCGGGCCGTTTATCATCGGTGCCGCGGCCGAGCGGGTCTGACCAGAGGTACTAAGCGATGCTGACGTAAACATAATCACTACGAGTACATAGTATATAAAACCGTTTAAAAACTTTACTACCGGTTTTATTTTTCTGTTTTTTTTTTCTGCACTGAAAACTGCAATATTATATTGTCATCTAAATTAAATGTGTGTACCAAATTTCAGATCAATCTGACAACGGGAAGGTGCTTAAATTTCAATTTCTAATTTTGACCCAAATAAACAAATAAATTCCGTACGTGTCGAGCTAAATAAAACCGTTTAAAAACAAAGTCGTCCCGCTGTCTGTCCATATGTATGCTTAGATCTTTAAAACTACGAAACGGATCTTGATGCGGTTTTTTTAATATATAGTGTGATTCAAGAGGAAGGTTTGTATGTCTAATATATTGCACCCGTGCGAAGCCGGGGCGGGTCGCTAGTACAGTACACAATGACACAATGCTGCAGAGAGAAGACCGTCAAGTGAAAGTTTCAGTTATCGCATAAATAGGATCATAAAACATGCAAAGTAATAATCACATTTTATTTTTATGTTTGTTATCTCAGAACTTTTGACAGAGTAAACGGATTTTGATGATTCTTTTTTTTATTTGAAAGCTGTTGTTTCCCATGTGGTCCCATAATTTCATTGTTATTGGATCTTGGGCTCCGGAGATACCATGGGAACTCCTCAAAATCAATTATATGTTTTTCGTTAGTAAAAAAAAAACAGTTATTTTATTAATGAACAACAAAATCAACTTCAAATGTCTCGCTTTGTATTATTCTTAAGTAGTGCAGTATGGTACCAAATGGGAAACACCAGCTTTCAAATAAACAAAGAATCGTCAAAATCGGTTCACTCTGACTAAAGTTCTGAGGTAACAAACATAAAAAAAAATACAGTCGAATTGGGAACCTCCTCCATTTTTGAAGTCGGTAAAAAAGGATGTCCCAGGTGGACCGTTTCCTCGCATGTCGTCTTTAAAACAAACAATTGAACTAAAAGCAGCCAGTGTTGGTCAAGATGCTAGGGGCGTCGACCCGCAACTTAAAATCATACCTTCAATCCCAGTTTACGTTTTTAGGGTAATATAAAATGGACAATATAAGGTAACGTAATGGTCACCAAATATTATGTTAGTCCAAATGACACAAGCAAATACTAAGTTTTAAAATAAAATTCATATTCGACTTACGCACCCTAGAGATGGCTGCAATCGATAACTTTGACCCATTTCCAAGTTCACGGACCGTATTTGACTAATGAGCGATGCACAATTATAAATTCCAATATTATTACTGACCATAGAATCCGGTATCGTTCGAACTAGAGGCCAATCCTACAAAGTCAATGCGAGGTCATCCCGAAATTTAGTAACTAGTTGACTGCTATAACTCATGTAGCATACATCGCCCCTTTTCAAGGTGTTACAATTTCATCATCAATACTAAACACGCGTTGGGCTATGCTTACTTTCGAAAATCATAAAGTTTTTAATGGTTAAAATTTAATAATGGCATCCCATCGTCCGGAAACGTATAAAAAGCGCGGCGAAACTTTCAAACCTGGAATTGAATGGAGCGTCATTTTTTAAGTCCGTTCGGGTTGTCGCAGTGAAAAATGATATAATTTATATCGGTGTTGGTAGCCAGCGGCTACCCGTTTTGTGTGCGCGTGATAAAATATAAATAAAAAATAAATTTTATAATATTTTTTCTCTTCTACTAATTTAAAATGTTACCTTATCAACGCGGGCCGCTACGACAAAAGGCGTAGGGAAGCCAATCCATTCAGTATCGATATCGATTATGTTTACTTTTTCGGATTAAAAACAACTTTTTAAGATATTCGCGGTATTACTTTATGAAGCTGTTAAGAACTAATACCCATTTTAGGTGAAAACACCAATAAAATTTTATAATAAAATAAAGCTTACCAGATTGAATCTGAAGAAGCGAACAAACATCTGAATGAAGTTATTTAATGTAAACATAAAAATATTGGAGGTCCAATTATTTATTTTTAGAATATGTGTTATTTCCATACACCATGTATTTTCGAGGGTTGTATTAAAAATTAATCTTTGTAATACCGATAATCCGAACTGAGCAGCGATTAACCACTCAGAGTAAACATCACTAATACACGCACACATAAAAATATCAACACACACTCACAACTCGGAGCACAAAACGCTTGCTCGTACGAGTCAGAATGAAATATTCAAATTTGGAAGCTGATTCCGTTTATGGCTACTTAATTTGGGTGATTCGATTTGAATATTAAAAAAGGAACGCCGAAAAAAGGTAAACGGCCAAAGACATTCCACCGGTACGAAGCAAGTGGACAGTGGTACTAAATGATCTTCGCATATATTACGTTAGAGATTCTGAGGTTGAAAAATGTTTGTGAGCTCTGATTTTTTTTAATAATTAGCTATTGTTCATTACGATCAGATGGTTTAATTTAGTTTTCTTCTTAATGAACTTGATTTATAATTCAGTTTTTTGCCGTTTGCCGTTTGCCGTTTCTGTTTTAGGGGTAACATAAACAAATCCGACTGGAATCTTGTTGCTTAATGGCATTGCACTCAATTTATGAAGGACTTTATTTACCCAATATTTTAGGAAAACTTAACGCATTGTCCGGGTGCTCGCGTATAATTCGATATATTTGAGCAACCCGAGTTCGAACCCCGGTGCCGGCACCAATGAAATTGTTAATTTTAAGTGCTGAATTATCGCGTGCTCAGCGGAATGAAGGAAAACATCGTGAGTAAACCATAATTAACAAAAAATATAAGTATATATATTTCGAACACATGTGAAATTCCCCAATCCGCAGTAGAGTCGCGTGGTGGACTATTCCCTGATACCCTAAGTACAGAGGAGGCTTTTTCCCAACGGTGGGACATATATAGGCTGTTACTAGCGATGGCAATGTAGTTATTGGGACATTACGCTTAACGAGGATTCGGTGATAGTGTTTTTTTGTCTTTCTTACATTCATTTATCACAGTTACTCATTTGTGGCCAGTGGACGATAATTAAGCTCATAACCTATAAAATGTTTTTTTTGTTTTGCCGATATGATCTCGATGCTAAAGTAAAAATAATAAACTGCTATTATGTTTTTTAGTAGAAAACTGTTTTTTAAATTTTAAGTTTGGAAGAAGCTGACTGGACAAGGGCGTTTTGCGCTTGACGTTTTTATGGTTCCGCTGTCTGCCTGTCTATCCGTCTGTTACCAGGATGTATCTTATGAACCGTGTTAGTAAGACATTTGAAATTTTCACTGATGATGTATTTCCGTTACCTGTTATAGCGGTACAAATACTAAAAAAAAAAAAATATTTAAATGAGGCTCCCATATAATAGACATGATTTTATTTTGCGTTTTTATAGATAATGGTACGGAACTCTTCGTGCGCGAGTCCGTCACGCACTTGGCCGGTTTTTTGTTTTATTTCGCAACGTTACAGACTTCAAATGCCTAGCTACCGAAAAACACGATTTTTTATTCAGTGTTTAGACTACTCGGGATGTTTTCAAATTGCCGTGTGCATAATTTTGATAATTATCCGTGCAGTTTTTTCTACACCAATATCTAATGACGTTATCCTTTTTTTCTTTTTCGACGTTTTATCTTTAAATCATATATTTTTTTTGTATATTTTCAACATTAATTTATATTTTTAGGGCAAAGAACTGTGTAAGCATAACATCATATCTGTATTAAAATCTTTCGAACGCAAAATAGAGTTGGACAGAGACAGACCGACAGACAGACCGTTTAAATTTAGTTTGTAGGAATTAAGACAATCGAATTATAGTTTTTGTGAGTGTCATTTCAAGGTCGCGTCATGTTTAGGCTCATTTTGTTACATAGGAGAGAAGAAGGAATTACGTAGAAAGAAGGATAAAAACTTTTTATCTTATTAGGTAAACGATTCAGCTGTTTTTACTAAAACGAGTTGCATTTTTATGTAATAAATAAATGTTCTGGATCTAGATAATAGTTGCTGAAGAGGGTTGACGTCAGGCAGGCGATCTGTTTGAAAATACCTTGCCAAAACAAAGCGATTCATATATAAATTGTCGAAAAACCATCGCCTTTCTTCATTATAGTTTATATTTCTTTATTGCATTCCAGCAATATTGCCAAATAACAATAAAGAAATTGATCCGCAAAATTAATCGGTTACGGAACTTTGCTAAGATCTAGAATTGAGTAAAGTATACAAATGTCGACATGCAGGTGCTGAACGCAAGCCATGCGCATGCGTGTTATAACTGAGCGCCGGCACATGCATGTTGAAGCTGGGTTCGAACCTAAACACCAAAAGTAACCCCGGTAGCTGAGAGCGTACGCTACCTCTTTGGTTCAGATTTAGAAAATCAGAGAATACACACAAATTATAAAGCTCCCAAAGCAAAATGATGCGAATGTAAGCATTCTTTTAAGTCTGCAGTATAATACACCGCGTTATAGTAAGAGGCAAAGTAAATTAAAGTAAGCCTGTAAATGTCCCACTATTGGGCAAAGGCCTCCTCCGTACAAAGGCTATTAGGCTATAGTCCCACTGCGGATTGGCGGACTTCACATATCTTCGATTTTTTTTTAATTTCAAAAAGCACTTGACAAGTAAGCACTTAAAATTAACAATTTCATTGACACCGGTATTTGAACTCAGCAGTATACGGTATTATAAATATAATTAAGGCCGAGCGCGCGGACACTGAACTATCACGGCTGTAATACTGCCAAATTGAAAATATTAAGTATCCACTTTATACAAATTACGTTTATAATTTGGTTACTTTTCACTTCTTCGATTGAAATTGGGAATTGATCTTTCATCTACACTTCAGATTCCATTAAAATTTCTAGCCATGTGTTATTGACAGACGAATGATCTGTTAAGAATTCAACGGGCAATTGCTTACATATAAAGTCTAATTTATAAAAAGTACGAACCATCGTACCACCTTCAGCGAGTCAGATTCGTTTCCCGTAACAGAACATTTGATAAACAGGGTATGGTGCGATGGGTCCAAATATCCTAGAAAGTTCTTCAAAGAACTATTTGTAAAATATTATCTAGCATAAAATTGTCAATTTGAAAGTCATTAGTTCACCTCATTAAGTATTAGAATCGCGCAGCACAGCGTCATTAAGAAAAATGGGAATGCGATTGGAATAGTGTAATACTTACATCCGACCGCGTCAACAGACGCCGGGCGAGTGAGCATTGAGCATTCAGCAAAAAAGCCGAGAGCCCGAGACTGATCTGACAGCCAACGTTGGGTGGAGCGCCCGTTTCCCGCCTCTAAAACGGGGCCCCCTCATTGGCTCGTTTAAAAATCGATTCCGCTCTATAAATATGCAACCGCTTTCCTTTCTCGCGCTCCGGACGGTTTTATGACGCCCGTCGGCCTAACGACGTTAAATCTTATGTCGTACAGAAAAGAGTCGAATTAAGAATAGCGGCGTTAGTTGCCATTGCCAGTTCCGAAACCGACTCGATTGTTTTAACGACACGTCTTTGTGGTCTCTTTTGTTTTATTTAAATGAGGATGGAGCCAAGAGATGTGCGTTTTTTGTCGTCGTGCAGGCGTTCGACGCGCTTTCTTATTATGTGTGTTTGTACGGGTGGGGATAAACAATGGAGGCGCGTGGGTGGAATTAAATCGGTAATAGATAATCGTGCATTTATGATTTACGGTGAAAGCTGATGCGTAGAGCTGTGGCGTTCGGGTAGCGAGTACATCGATAGTTCTTGATTACCTGTCGTACCGTTATATGGGATATCGATAAATACCTCTTTAATGTTATTTTACTTATTAACGGACCTCCTTGCTGTATTGATAGCACTGGCAGTCAATTCTCGATATCAAAATTCTGTATTTCTTGTTTGAAGAGCCGCAATAGCTCAGCATTCAGCTTTTATTTCAATATACACCAGCGACCTGAGTTTATTTCGCCGCCGTAGAGAGAAAGGGAGAGGGCTACACATTGCATTTTAGATATTTCACTCTCTGACGCGTTACACGCCCAATATAATAAGACTATTGCGAACGCTTGTTTTCTTACTGCTTGTTTGGATACGTGGCAATGCAACGCGTGCATGGTTATGCTAGTTTTTAGGAAGATAAAGACATTGTCATATCATTAACTGTCACAAGCTTTGATCACTTCGACTAGATCTATCGAGGTTTTCTTCAGCGCTTAATCTTTCATTCAGCGGCTACCAAACAAACGAGAGCCATTTTCCCCCATCTGGGTAATCAATATTCCGAAGAATAATAAAATAATAGTCGTTCGAGGTCTTCTATAAGGCTGGCTGAAAGCGAACGATCACATGTAAAGATTAATACAAAAAAAAACGAATCCCAATACGAGACGAATAAACTTTACATCGGCGACAATCTCCGTTAACAAAACAACGTCTCATAATCTTTCTCATTTTCCCAGCTGAAAATAATAAAAAAAAACTTTGGGCAGGAAAATTCACCTCCGTAATAGCGTTTGATAAATTACTTAAATTAGCGTTTGACATTTCGAGATAGACGGATATAGTGCGTGTAGTCAACTTCAGTGAGTCCAAACTGTGATAGCTTTATGAAAGGAAGAATGGCAGACAGGAGCAATGATATTTTATACTATAGACATATTATACGCGTACAAAACCACCGGTGGAAAGAGTTTCTATTTCCAAACAGATTGACCACACATTCACACGTACCGGATGGTAAAAAGGATAGCAATAATTAAAGCAATAAGAAAAAAGAGGACGGCAAGTGTTTTTTACTTTAGCATAAGTGTGTACTCCTTTCCTCCTTCGTGTAGGGTCACACAACTGCGGCTGTTGCACGAATGAGCAGATCCGACATCACGACCTCACAGAAGACCGGCGTGAAGTGGTGAGCGCGGTAGCTGGGGCCCAATTTATTAAAAGGTGGCAACGCATCTGCAACGGTGGTTATCAGTTATTTAACATCAGGTTAATCACCATCTCGCTTGCCACCTTCTCACATAAAAAACAACAATCTGTGAGTTAACAACGTATCTGTAGTATAAAATACTAGCTGCTGTCCGCGACTACGTCTGCGTAGAATAGGCTGAAGGTGTAACATAACTTAAAGACAGATGATATACATCAAAATATGTACATAATTTCTAGCCTATGTGTTATTCTGTTGTATAAGCTATATCATTGTAAAGTTTCGCTAAAATCCATTCAGTAGTATTTGCGTGAAAGAGTAACAAACATCCATCCATACATACAAACTTACGCGTTTATAATGTCAATTGTCAAGTAAGGATCATTGGACAGGTGATGTAGCCGTGGTTCGCACCGGCGTCCCTCCGTCGCAAGCCGTCCCTCTCGACCGCAAAGCTGCCGGGGCGAGCGAAGCGTGCCTCGGAAGCATTGACTTTGGCAATAATACGGGGGAAACCGTACAAGGGAATGCCTTCAGCATTCCTTGAGTATTAAACATTGGATAACGTACGGCCAACGATAGTCCCGGCTTCGCGACGTTGTAATTAGCTTCGCGCTCGTTAAAAAACGGTGTGGGCAGACGGCCATTTTATCGCTACCTCATTTTAACTGTGCATAATGTACTTATTTTGAATTTTCGTAGATTCGCTGCGGCACTCGATTCTGCGTCTTCTGGTTTCGCGCCAAGACGCTTTACGAACCAAGCTAAGAGCTTTTAACTCTGCATACCTCGTAATGTACGTTGTTATCTGTGGTTATTTTAAATTTGTAGATCATCATCATCATCATCATTTCAGCCTGTTTGAGTCCACTGCTGAACATAGGCCTCCCCCATAGACTGCCATGAAGTACGATCCTGAGCCACCTGCATCCATCGACTTCCCGCACATTTGTAGATAAATGAACAAAAACTTTCGGCGCTGCGGTATTCGAAACTGAGTCTTACGTATCGCGCCCAGACGATACAAACTAAATCTAAGCGGCCGATGACCTCACTGCGCGAAAATCTCGATAATTATGTATCTAGTTTCTTTCTATTTCGTTTTTGGCAATGCTTAGCGCCATCTAGTGCGCGTCCTTTACACTTTATGGCATACAACACTACAAAGAACATTAAACGATGAACATTTGCAACGAGTGATGTCTCGTTCTGTTTCTGTTGCTATTAAAATTATTTACGATTTTTTTTATGTGCAAAGAAGAACTAAAAGAAATTATCTTAAAATATCTGGTTTTATGTTTATTAACAGACTTAACTGTGTAGAGCCACGCAACAGAATTCCCTGTTGCACGAATGGGCAGGTCCGTCTGACCACGTAGGTATGGGTAAAGATTAAAATAAAAAAAAATAACATCTTAGCTGTTAAATAAACTTTACATTGGCGACAATCACTGGAAACGAAACAACGGCTCGGAATCTTTTTCTTTTTTCCGGCCGAAATAAAAAAAAAATGATTCTTGGGGCGGGAAAATTCATCTCCGTAATGGCGGTTGGATTAACCAATAAGAAGTACGCCCCGAATAATGTTACTTTCATTTCACTTCGGACTAATCGCTTTTCAAACGAATCTCTGTGTCTTGAATAAAAGACAGAATGACATCGTACATAAAAAAATGTTTCATCGAAACAACATTGAAGAGAAACAACGTTCTGAATTAAAATATGGAGGTAATGAAACTTTTCTATAAAAAGTTTTACTAATTAAAAAATATCAACTACGACTAATATCTTGTGATCGTAAAGGTTTACTTTATTGTTATCAGTAAATATATATAGTGATCCGTGATAGCAGTGTATTTCTACTAAGTATCTCTACTATCTACTATAAGAACTTTGTGACTAAAGAAGTAGTTACTAACTAACTTTCTATAAGTTTCGTACTAATATATTTTCGGCTTGAGGGTGGTAAAAACACTTTCTCTCTCATTTTGTCTATTGGGATTGGATTTCCTAATTATTTTCTTCAAATTCTGGTTTTGTTTTATTTTTGTTTTCTGTTTTCTCTTGTGGGATCGATTATGTAAAAATATGAGAAGCATCGTAATATTAATTTAAAAAAAGGTTAAAATTATATCTTAACAAGTACTTATTGTATGTTTATGTGTTTATAATTATATTGTACATTGTCAATACATATAAATAATTGAACGTAATTATTGCACATCTCACGATTTATCTCCACGCCGGGTTGATTGGGAAAGAATGGCAAAAGGCATATTTGCAGGTTTGCCCTTTGTAATCCTTGGTAAGGTAATAAGTGGGTTCGATCCCCACTACTGGAAAATATTGTGTGATGAACATAGTGTTTTTCCAGTGTCTGGGTGTTTATATATGTAGGTATAATATGTATTTATTTAAAAAAGAAAAGTATTTTTATGTATGTTTATTGGTTATCTAGTACAATAGTACAAGCGTTGCTTAGTTTGGGACTAGAGAACGTTGTGTAAATATGTGTCCTAAAATAAAAAAAAATTGCAATAAAGAATAAATAAATAAATAAAATCTTGTTACAATATAGACAAAAAATATTTCGGCGTTTATTAAATAGAAAAAAAAAAACTAATTATACTAAAAGATACCCCAATAAGGATGAGATGTGGGGCGATGCGAGTAATTGAGGCGGGCAATGGCCAAACAATTGCCAGACGATTGCCAGCGTGTTGCCAATATGAGCAGTATTGAGTTTCACCCCTAGACATGGAGGGTCTCTTGTACCGCGGCAAATTCAGCAAACATTTGGCGCGAAAAAAAATTATTTTGTAATTTTTTTTCCCGTCGTAACCTCACCTAATAATGGGCTAATTAGTTAATTAACTACCTTTGGGATAAATAATCATATTTATTATCATCATATGGAGAAGAACAAATTACCAGGTATTATTGCGTCAAAAGTCACGACCACAGAAGATCTGTTATTGTAAGACGAAGATCGAAAATCTAAAAAATAAAAATACTTCTTATTGTGATCTGCTGACCCCGCAGAGAATACTACGTAGTGATTAAGAATCTATTGTATAATAGTTACTTGTCTTTGTAAAATCTTAAATCATTAGGAGTTAAGAACATGTGTGGAAATTGAAGAAAAGGTTCGTTTTTATTATATTTTTGGATCAAGTATGTAAAAGGGGACCAAAAAAACTTGGCGAAAGACATACAGGTACAGCATGAGTTTAGAAAAATATATGTATATTATTAAAAGTAAATACCAAATTATAGTTATTAGTTGCCATATTTTATTTTAAATAATACCTCAGCCGTAATAAATTTGTAAATTCAAAAAAATTTTCTGTTTACAATCCGGCCACCGTTCAAACATAAACAGTGTTTTTTAATCTGTGCCGACCGCCGTTTGCGCGGGAGCCCGCCAATTTTCACCGCAGGGTTGCCGCTAATGAATATTTGCCCGTTGCGTTCCGAAACGAGCCGATGGCACATGTGGCGAGATTGCGTTTGCGAGCCCCGAGTGCCCACTCTTGTAATTCACGCTCCGCTTGCAGGGGCGGCGCGTCGGGTGAAATGATTAAAAATGTATCGCGGAACGTGTAGTTGGGTTAGGTTTTAATGTGTCAAGATTTCGTTCAGCACTTTACGTTACGCCTTATGAGCCTAGGAGTGATATCGATGAATATCTCGCGGATATGCAGGTATTTTCGTTATTAAGTAGTTAACGTTTAAGTGCAGAAATAGTGCCTGTTTTTTCGAAAGCGCGCCAAACATTTGGCGCGAAAAAAAATCATGAAGAATCTCGGATGCGTTGGATCGCTATCAGCCAACTAGTTAGTCGTTTAATCCGTTTGTTGTTTGACTGTAATAGGGCGACGCATCAGTCTTTATGCTGTTCTTAAGTTACGGCAAAATCCTCCAAAAAAGTACCACCTCACAGAAGACAAGTGTGAAGTGGAAGTATAATTCTGCGTTTCTTCTGGCGAATGAGGTAGCCTGGGCTCACTTTTTTTAAAATGGCAACGCGTTTGCATTGTCTCTGGTGCTTTTTATTGTTCATTGGCGGTTGTGGACCATCCGCTCAGATACTATTTTTTCATAATAAAAGAATTAGGTGACAAATTTATATTGCTTTCTAGAAGAATATCTATTTTATACTAAAACGCGGTAGAACTACAATAACGGGAAAATATACAGCCATTTAAATTATCGTTTGAACATATCAGTTGTAAAAATACATATACACCTACATTCGTCGAAGTTCGTATAATTTTCAATGGAATTAAAGAACTGTGTATTTACCAACAGATATAGGCAATATAATAAAAAAGACAGTAAAGCAAATTTTATATTTCGGCGATTTATAACATGGAGTAGGATCGTTAAACAAAGAAATGTTTGAAAAAATAATAATATCTGCTCGATATATTGAAGATCACGCATAAGGTCGAGGCCGTGTGATTAATTGTTCCTTTCGGCTACCGTGCCACGAACCTGTGTTTAGTGTTGTGCCGCTGTTTGAAAATCCTCGATAATCGATAAAACTTTATTTCGCAATGTAAACATATTCGATATTATTATCTCTCTCCATCTAAGTGTAAATAAATGCGCATCATCATTTCAGCCTGTTTGAGTTCACTGCTGAACATAGGCCTCCCCCATAGACTGCCACGAAGTACGATCCTGAGCCACCTGCATCCATCGACTTCCCGCACATTTGCACAGGTCGTCACTCCATCTAGTGGGGGGCGTCCCACACTGCGATGGCCAGTACGAGGCTGCCACTCGAGAACCTTTCTTCCCCAACGGCTATCGGTTCTACGAGCTATATGGCCGGCCCATCGCCACTTCAGCTTGCTAATCCTCTGAGCTATGTCGGTCACCTTAGTTCTACTGCGGATGTCTTCGTTACGAACTCTATCACGCAGAGAAATACCGAGCATAGCCCGCTCCATAGCTCGCTGAGCGACTTTGAGCTTCCTCATACGGCCAGCAGTGAAGGACCACGTCTCGGTTCCGTAGGTCATCACTGGCAACACACATTGATTGAAGACTTTAGTCTTCAAACATTGAGGTATATTTGACGAAAAGATTTGCCGTAGTTTCCCGAACGCTGCCCATCCGAGTTGGATTCGCCGATTGACCTCTGCGTCGAAGTTGGACTTACCTAGCCGGACTAACTCTCCTAGGTAAATGTACTCGTCAACAACTTCGAGCTCAGTGCTCCCAACAACAACCGGTATTGGCGTGACATGGACATTAGACATGATCTTCGTCTTGTCCATGTTCATCTTAAGGCCCACCCGTTGGGAGACACTGTTGAGGTCATTGAGCATAGTACTAAGGTCCTCCAGCGATTCTGCCATGATGACTATATCGTCGGCAAATCGGAGGTGGGTGATGTATTCGCCATTGATGTTAATACCTCGTCCTTTCCAGTCCAGAAGCTTGAAAACATCTTCCAACGCAGCGGTGAAGAGTTTCGGGGATATGACATCACCCTGTCTTACACCCTTCTGCAGTTGGATAGGTTTTGTAC